CGTGTCGATAAATACACTCGCCAAAATGGAAGAAGTAGCCATGCCGAGGGATACCTGGAAACACTATGTCCAATGCATTCAGAAAACCTTTCTCAAAATCGGTGACGAATATGCCCGGGTGATATTCAATTCCTTCTTCTTCCATCAGTTATTGTAAAATTACGGTGTACAATCGTTCATCTTTAGAGGATGCCAAAACATATGCAAACGGTAAGACTTTCTTTTTCATTTCACCTGTGGTCTCATCTTCACCTTCCAATACTCCATGCATAGAATATAACTGCTGAAATAATCCAGGCACAACTGAGAATGTTCCATCTGCCATCCAGATACGACAACGAGCTATGTTTCGTACATTCGGAGTTGTTGCCTACACTAAGAACCTATTTCTTTCTCCACCACTATCATAAAATAGAAAATTATCACCATTCAATGTCTTCCTGGAATATTCAGGAATCTCAAGCTCGCCAAGTGAAGCTGATGTAAGAAATCGTGGTGCTACGGCTGCTCGTACCCGTTGAACTGTTCGTTTCAATAGCTATAGGTCAGGTAGCTCATTTTTTACTGTGATGTTTTGACGTGTGATATTTGTTATTGTGATATTTTGACGTGTGATTTTTTGACGTGATATTTTGACGCGTGATATTTTTTACGGAAATATTTAGATGTGTCGCCCTACAATCCATAGAATCAGCACCGATCAAAAAGGCTTTTATGAAAAGGCTCGGCACCTTAAAAACAAAAAATGAACATTCGCATTTAAAAAATTAGGAAATGTACTTTCTTAATATTGCTCTTATGAACGTTACCTTTTAACGTGTGATTTTTTCTACGCCTAGCCATCTCACCTTTCGTTGAAGGCAATATTGACTGCTTAGGAATGTGAGGAGAGGATTTCAAAGTTACATTTAAAAAAATTTAATGTTCCAACATGCAACTTTCGAGACCTGCCTAAAGAGCGACTGAGTCCCGGTAGTTTCAGCTTCTTGATCGTCAGTTTGAGCCAGAGCTCAGATGAGTGTCGCCAATAGGCTCGTAATATACTGTCAAATCAAGCCTTGAAAAGCAATGAGATCAGGCCGGGGCCGGGCCCGAGCCACTCGGCCGTAGTGAACTAAGCCATTCTCAGTTCTGTTCTCATCGTCAGTCTTTGGAATTCTTATCAGACTTATATTCATTTTCTCCACCCCGACTATTCATCCACGAACTATTTGCTTCAAATTATTGGGTTAAGTTTTCCTTCCACCTCGGACTTTTGGATAATTGTTTTATTTCATTTATTGAACCGCTGAAAATATGGTCTGGATACAAAATTATTTACGTGCTGCCTATTTCGAATGAAAAATTGATATTTATGTTTCAAATTAATAGAAAGGCTCAAATTCACGCTTAATCATACTGTCGCCCTCTGTCGGTATCGGTCGAACAAGAGGATGGAGAAAGGGATGGGATTGTTGGGATGGAGAAAGATCGAATTAGAGTTGGTAGCTTCGTTAACTGAAAAAGGCCCTTCTCCCAGCTCTCACGGACGAAGCTTAGGAATCTCGGGGTTTTGTAATATGAATCTGGGGCGGGATATTTCTTCTGTATAATATTGAATTCTCAATATTTTTCATAATTTCTTCTCTGCTTTTTTCTTCTGCGTCTCCGGGTATCATTCTATAAGACCTTGTATTTGATAGAGTCTGCGAGGAGCACTGAGGTATCTCAGCCTCCTCGATTTTGTGTTACCGTCGAACGCTCCCGATTAATCATTTGATCTCATTTATCATTTTAGTTACAGACTTATCCACTCCGGAACTACGGTTTAGAAAGAAATGAATCAGACCCTAACTTGAGTTTTTCCGAGAATCAAACAAGTGTGGGAATCGACTCCATATGGATTATTGCAGGGTTTTCCCACTTAGGTATTCGAATTTCTCTACGGGTATGCTCGCCCCTATTTCGATAGTGGGCATTTTATTCTTCAACTACTTGAGTATGTGGTTAATTAATGGCCCGCCTTCTGCTGTTCTTGCTGGAAAAAAATATATTTTTCTGAAGGCATTTCTTGAGGAAAGGTTCTGCTAGGTGGTCTAAATTGAATTTCAAGCCTAATAATTATGCGGAACTTTAAGATGATCTTTCAAAAAATGATGGGTAATGTTCTTTCAGAACGATTATTAACACCTGAAATTATTTCTAATTTAATAAAGTTGCATAATATCCTGATAATCAAGTTGATTAACATAAATGTGGTATTTAAATCTGGACTTGGACAGTCAGGAAATTATTAAAAATTCAAAAAACAAATTCTAACAATAAAAGATGACACTTTCAAAATTATGTTTGGGGCAGGTTTCTTCAAATTGCTTATGAAATGTCTTACACCAGAATATGTTATATCAATATATTCATAGATATTTAATTTCAGATTTATGTTTGGAACTCATTATGGCATTTGAAATTGTTTTTCTCAAAAACCGAAAAGTATTAGACAAATTGTTAAACCAGAAACTCAATTTCCGTCATACATACCCAGAAAGTTCGATTTTGCTCCCCAAATGATGGGAAAGAAGTGACCTATTCCATCGCTTAGATTTATGTTGTTTCTGACGATCCTGGGGATGATATAGCCCCCGTTTCTCCCATCATTTACAGAAAAAATCGAACGTTTCCGTCTAGTAATAACGGAAGGAATAATGTGCATCGAGAAAGGGAAACAGAGCATTCAAACCTACGTGTTGGCCCCGGGCCGGTGATACACATGTCGGACAGAATACGCCATTTCCTTTCCTTGATGCACAACATACTATTACGTATTGACAATGGTGAAGTCGGCTTATTTTTACCATACCCACAACTTTCTAAGTTCTACTTTTGTCGAGCTATGTTATAAAATTATTAAAATAAATGCCATTCTAAATGCATGTAGAAAAAACTATAACACCATGCAACCATTATTACCATTAAAATCAGTGTAATCAATGAAAATTTCGAAGATAAAAACTGTTCCACAAGTATTCATTGTTCATTAATATCAAAGTAGCGATTAATCATTATTTAAAAACGGGGAAGAAACATCGTTAACTGACAGGACATTGTAGCAGTGGCGTGACTTGGAAGCTGACATTGCTTTGGCTTTAAATTGCCAGCGCAGCAAGCGTTTACCACCTGTAAGGCGAGGAACCATATATGATCTCTATTTGACACTATCAGGTAGAAAAATGCTTTACCAAAAAGAAAAACCACAATTTCGAGTCTGTTCATTGTTTATCTTTGGTTTTCTTCTTTAATTTATATCATATTTGTCTACATATGTTTTCATTATTGTAACCTCTTGTTATATCTGTCATAATGGAACCATTGTCTTGACTATTAACAAGCAGGTTATTGATTTGTTTATTCAAAGAGAAAATTAATGAAATATTAGCGATTTTAAGATAGGCCGCTTGCCTAGGAATGCTGAATGACGAATACTCCCCGCACTTGTATTTCAGTTTTTCTCGAAAATTTTCGAAACTTCCTGCACTCACTTATTCATTCCCATTTCTGTCGATCATTTAGTGAATTATATATATATTTAGTATAATGCCAGTATATAATAGTACAATTAATTAAATACTGGTTATGTATCCTACGAACAAAAAATTGGAATCTTCAATTACCTTTTGTCCCAAATGAACAAAAATGTCCCCTAAATAATGACAATTTCATAAGATGATCATTAACGATTTGGGGCTCAATGTAATTGACTCTTATATTGTTATTATTGATCATGAGTGACAATTTTCATTGATCGTAACTTTTTGTAATATATTAATATCACTCTTTAATTGTGGTAGAGAATTCTCATATTTGGCTTGACTATTATTTTATTTTTACTGAACTTTATATCCATAGAGTACATAGATTTTTAATGGAAACCACTGAACTGTAATTATACTGGAAGGGGCACTTCGCTCTCCGTCTGTGCGAGAGAGAAAGAAATTAGCGAGGATTTCTGCTCTTGTCATACAATCCGCTCGAAAAGTTTCATTAACTGCTTAGGAGAGTGGGGTTACGAGGGTTCTAATTTGATTCCCATCTCATGAAATGTTACTTTATTTTAGTGGTGAGCAATTTTGTGAAGAAATCTCAACCGACCCTATTTGTTGTTTTTTCTGTAAATTTAATAAGTCACAAGATACATCTTATGGTACTCTTTCTAATCAAAATCAACTATTTCTTTCATAAACACAGAATCCATCTAACTGCTGGAAGTAAATGATTATGTATTAAATCTCGTCCAAAAAGTATAAGAAATAAGGAGAAAAAATCTGAAAAATACCTAGATGACATAATGTATGCATTATTACAACAACGCATTTTTCATGTCAACGGTATATTTAAATACCGTAAATTCAATTTAAAATTATCAATATACGATTGGTAAACGGTTTTCTATCCAAATTGATAAAATGTATAACATTGAAAACGTGCACATTAGAATTGATATTCTGCAATATGTTATTTTTCATGGAGAGAATTCTTGCCACGACAATTGCGCATCATTTTCGTAGTAGAAATTCCATATACGTCAAAAATTTAACAATTCCTTCTTAATCTTCCTTCTTATCTTTACTCATTTTTATTAGGTCATGTTCTCTCTAAATTAATAATTTTATAGGTGCTAATTGTCAGACGACATCAAGAGCCGAGTCAAATACTGTAGGCAGAAAGAGGTCTAACCTTTTGAGTCAAATGGTTGCTTAAGTAGTTTAGCTGTTACAGCGCATGCGCAATGAGCTAAAAGAGGACAGAGAATCTCACCTTCAGAGGCTCACAAAACGAGTCCTCTTATACGTTGAGCCCGATAGTGCCTTTCAGTATAATTATATTTCACGGATTTGAAACCGGGGATGAAGAAAATATCACGTTTCTTTGAAAAAATACTCCATAATAAGAAGTAGAAAATTTTTTTAACTAGATAGATGCATTTGTTCTGTTTATTCATTGGTTCGCTTGACGGCTAATGGTAGTCGGCCAGAGACTTGGAGACAACAATGCAGGCAGCGGCAACAGCCACTCGATCACATGCGCTTGCCCCACTCAAACGCGGTGGCCCATTTGAGAGATACTTTCCTACCGCCGGTGAGTTTTTATTTATAATATGTTTACGGTTAAATTCCGAAAATTTTCTTACGAGGATTAAGTACTTAGGGATCAGATATACAATACAATTGCATCGGGATTGATAATTCATAAATCAATTAAATTTTCAAAGTGGTGAAATATTTATCAAGAAGTTGCTTATAAATTGCGATAATAAAAATTGACCATTAATGAAAGAAAAACGTGCATTATCGTTTGGTGTGTAACAAGGTCCTTGACTGGCACATTTATGTCCTTTATTTAGGATTACAATATGACAAAATAATTGACCAGCCCCTAACAACGTATTGTATTAACGTTTATTTCAATAATTTATGCATTAAGAGATGTTTTTTCCATAATTTTTGTTTTTGTTAAGCTCGGCATTAGCAACCGCAAGTGTGTTATATATTTGTCAAGGGGCGGGTCGATTCAATTTTTTGGTTTTTATCATGCTTTCTCACGCAAAAATAGCTTAATAATGAAAAATTTACATGTAACACAAAATATGAAAATAACAGGAAATATGCAGAAAAATATCGAAATTACATTTCTAGTCCAATGACAAATTCCGATACTTATGTTCATCTGTTATTAAGCTATTAATAACTTGCATGTATTTTTAGTGAACAGTTTATGTTTCATGTTTGCTAAGGTGTCCAATTTCACTAGAAAATTGAATCATACGTTTTATACGTTATTAGGAATCTTGTGATTATTGATCATGGACATAAAAGGGGCGCACATTGTAGCTTTAAAGTTAGCTAAAACGTCAACAGTACACTGAGAAAAAAAAAAATTTTGCCAAGCATTCACGTACTTCAGGGAGCGATTTAGGTTTGAAAAAGTGATTTTATGATACCAGTTTAAAAAAGGCGTAAAAGAAGGTCCTCTGTTATACGCTTGGCGCATGAAGGTCCCCGTTTTCACCAGTATCATAAAATTTTGTACAAGACATGCCAAAGAAAGTAATTTCTAACGAATCTGATGACAACCCTCTGCTTCCGCTCAGCATGTAAGCCTTAGACTAGGCTAAAAGTACTTTTTTGAATTTGCATCGTAGTATATGATTCTGACTTCAAAAAGTAATAACTTATCGTATTTTACGTACCTTGGTTAGACTTCTACTATTTTCTCAATCGAATCATTTTCATACAATCATAATTAGATTCTCATTATGATAATCATTATTCTAATCGGAAAAATCGCTTGAATAGAATAGCTAAGCTGAAATACTCATTAGAAGATGAAATATTACGAGAGGACCCGGTTGGGAATAAGGTATTGCATATTGATTTCGTTCTCAACAGTTATTAGTATTTTTTTTTGCTCAACACGGGACTGGACCCTGGCGATTAAAATCGGGTATCCGCAAATAATAAAATGGGCAATCAAATCCTTGTAAACTCTACAGAAATCAGAACTAAGATGGTATCCACGTAACACTATTACAAAAGTGAATAAAAATCATTCTGTGGACCTTGCATTAATTGACGTTCTCAAGACGGAGTTACCGACTTACTACTGATACAGGGTATAACATAATAAGTGTAATACTTCTCGACCACAAGTTCAGGGACCCCTCCTGAACACTAGAAAAATAAGAAAAAAAGACTTACTCCACCAATTTTAAATAACTAAAAATTAAGGAGGGCTGAGTTATGGCGCGTAAGTGGTAGAAGTCGACTGAGATATGACAACAGCGTGTGAGAGACGTCGGGAAATGAGAGAGGTAGTTGAGTACCACTGCTGTGCCGTGAATTTCGGGCCGACACGCATGTAGCATAGAATAACAACATGCATGAGTCTTCCTAAATGTCGAATCCAACCATAAAAATAATGTTTCTTTCGATAGTTACCGGTTATGTTTATTCCAGAGGAATTCCTGAATAATTCCAGAGGGATTCCTTAGGAATTTCAGAGGGGTTTCTTATAAATTTAAAATGAATTTGTTAGGATTCCCAAACTAACTCATCAGGAATTTGCAGATGAATTCCTTAGGAATTTCAGACGTATTCCTGACGCATTTCAGATGAATTCCTTAGGAATTTTAGAATGATTCCTTAGGAAATTATGAATAATCCTTCCCAAATCCCGAGGAATTTCTTTGGAAATCCTAAAGAATTCCTAAGGAATCTCATTTGAAAAACTAAAAAATTCTTCTAGAATTTTTAAAAGGAATACATAGAGGATTTTGAACAAGAGCGATGCATGTTGTTACTCTATGCTACATGCCTGTCTACCTCTCTCGTATCCCGACGTCTCTCACGCGCCGTTGTCATATCTCAGTCGACTTCAACCACTCACATTTACGCGCCATAACTCAGCCCTCTCATTGGCCCTCGTTAATTTTTAATTATTTAAAATGGGTCAAGTAAATTTTTTTTTTCCTATTTTTCTAGTGTTCAGGAGGAGTCTCTGAACTCGTGGTTGAGAGGCATTACAGTTATTAAGTTACACCCTGTAGAATATCACATTCGTTACCGGAACGAAAAAACTCTGAAATCAATCAAAATTAAAAGTCAAGGAAATTAAATCATTTTCGATGATTAAGATGATAACTCTACTATTATAAATGGGAATCAAATTTATTAAAAGATGTAGTAATCCCCCAAAAAAAATATAAGAAAAAAATGTCCAGTAACTATTTAGATACCTTGTCCCGGAAAAAAGATTGAAAACAAATAGTATTTGTTGAGGGGTTATAACATTCTTACACTCAGTATATTATGATGAATTTCAAAAAGTAGGTATAATCGCGCGCGTTCCTCGTATTTTATAGTATGCGGTGAAAGGAAAAGAAGTATGACATTTTACAAAATAATTTGTTAGTTCTTACAATCCAAATAGAACATGGAAAAAATTGGAGCCGTATTCCATTTTTAACAAAATGGATTGGACTATTCGAGGACGCTCTTTGTATGGATTGGCAAATCGTTCTAAATAGTTGCGAATGTAAATGAATCGAATGGAATAGCAATAGTATCGACTTTAGGAAATCATTAACATATTCGATTCTTGTAAATGATCACAGTAATGGTGCAACGATTCTCACCCGGACTGGAACTCGGAAAAAAATCGCGGAGCTATCCAGTTTGGAATCAACATCGGAGCGAAAATTTTGAAGCGTTTCAGCTTGGAACAATACCCTAAACCAGAGGTGGGCAACCTCAGCTCTTGGAGCTACTCCAGCTCCCAACCTCCATTAGGCAAAATTGTCCCAAGCCATAAAGTTTATGGCTGCACCCCCTTCGGGCCCATGATGCCCTGCACGTAGGCGAGAGTAGTGGGGATATTCGGCAGAAACTTGGTGATAGTAAAAGTGAAATAGAAAAATTTCCTATCTCTCTAATGGAAAGATTTTTCCAATCATTGTTTTTTTTGTTATTATCCTTCTGATCGGTTATTGGTTATTTTTATTCATCTTTATAAAAGAGGACTTCGTACCTTTCATAGATTTCTTGAAGTAATTTTGAAATTATAATTGAAATATTGTTTGGGAAACAATTATTAAATATCACCATGTTGTTAATAGACCTGAATTGACATACACTTTCAAATTTTTCATTTCTATATTTGCCGCTCTCGATGCCAAATTTTAATGAAAAAATTTCTCACAATCTTTAATTGACGATGAAATATTACTTTCTCAAGTTGATGAGCATTCGACATTCATTTACACTTATGAATATTGAATCTAAATCATCATCTTTTAATTCCATTTTTTTTTATGAACAGAAAATGTCCAAACACGTGCATAAAAATTCAAACCATTTTGCCCTCACATTTCAATCACGCGCGTGCGCCATCGCTCGTACCATCACCCTACGACACAAATATACGACAACCCTGGTAATCACGTTAGGTCCCTTACAATTGGAACCTTAATAATTTTATGGTTACAGCTCCGAGCCTACCTGAGGTTGCCCACCTCTGCCCTAAACGATACCCGTGGGATGTTTCTTACTAGAAATTAATAGTGTGGAATATTAGAGCTTGGAATCAAAGTTTTGGACAATTTCTCACTTGGAACGATGTTCTGACGAAGCTGTTTTAAAGCAGGCATCGACTGTCAGAAAAAAGATGATATTTGACTGACGTCTAGGTGCCAATTTTCAGATTGTTTTTCTCCTCAAAATTACATTTTTTATTACTCTCCTCTAAATTCAACAGTATATTTACGGAAATTTCCCGGTTTTCTATGGACCTTCGACCAGAAGGGGTACGAAACTGTAAGGTTCTGTTCGATTTTTTCCCTAAATATAGCCGGATAGGCACGGTGAATTCGCCTCTAGCGAATTTTACGGCGCTTTTGTTCTTATATATTTATGACCGAAACAGATAATTCTCTGAAAAATTTCAGATCTTTATCGTGGTTTCCTGGTGGTTCTTAAATTTTTTTTTTCTCATTCTAAAAATTTTTTCAAAAATCAAAAACAATCTGAAAAATCAAAAACGCTCTAAGATTGTAGAAAATTTTTTTCCCGAATCTTTCCTTACTAAATTCAATTTTTTAAAACGTTTCAGTTTTTCCATTCCTTCCAGACTTGAAGGAATTATTAAGGTTACTGCCACATCTGTTTCAGATGAAAAATGATTTGAACGGACAACATTAATTTCTCTTAAAATTTCAAAGGACCCTATCAATAATATTGAAGTAAACGTATCCAAACAGGAGAAATGAGTTTTTGAGAATAGTACCTATTGGTCATCGTGCGGAAAACAACCAGCCAAATCTATTTTTTCAATATCGTGAACGACTCAGGGCAGACAGTTCAATGATATTCAATCATTGAAATATATGGCAATGGACTAAATGAGAATTACTATGGATAGAGAAAAGAATTATTAGAGTTTTACATACTTTAACACTTCGATTTATTAATGCTCCGATATCGAAATTGATCGATGTACCATCGACGTGAATGACATATATTATTCAAAGCTCCGATTGTTCATATGGTAAATTGGACGATATTGAATTTACGCGAAAAATGAAT